AAATTCGCTCCAGGGAAGTATTTTCCAGAATTAACTCAGATGCACATAATGGAAATGAAGCTTCTATCGCTCACTAGGGTATTTTTGCTGCTGTGGCTGCTGTTTAGGTCAATGATGAGGGATACAGTGCCAGGCTGTAGCTGGGCAGACAATATCAAGACCAGTTAGGCTGCCAATCTTTTTTTAAATATGTGTTTTAAAAATATATTTTTATTGATTATATAGACTAGAGGAAGGAAGAGGGTGAGAGAGATAGAAACATCAATGATGAGAGAGAATCATTGATTGGCTGCTTCCTGCACGCCCCACACTGGGATCAAGCCCACAACCCTGACCGGGAATCGAACTATAACCTGATTCATAGGTCAACGCTCAACCAATGAGCCACACCGGCAGGCCAGGCGCCAATCTTACTTGGAATATCTTTTTCAGGGCGAAGGGGAAACAACATGATTTTTAAAACCAGCCTTTTGTCTCAACCATCTCAGGGTGACACGTGCCTTGTGCTCTCCTTTGAAACCTTCAGGTCCTTCGGGAGAGTGGATGGAGGAGCTCACCGAGAAGCCCCAACATGTGAGTGTCCATGTTTTAAGCTCAACCACCGCCTTGATGTCCTGGACGTCCTCCCAAGAGAACTACAACGGCACCATTGTGTCTGTGGTGTCCCTCACCTGCCAGAAACAAAAGGAGAGCCAGAGGCTAGAAAAACAGTACTGCACGCAGGTAAAGGAAGGGATTGGCTGTGGGCTCACTCACCTGCTGCAGCGCAGCCGGGGAGGCCACGGGGGAAGCCGGGCTCAGGTCTCTGGTGCTCCGTGAGCCCAGACAGGAGCGGGGAACGAGTGTGCATGGCTCTTGGGTCGCAGTCATCTTCCTTTTCCCTCTGAGGGTGGCTGTCTCCTTTCTCTTTCATTCCTCATGCAGGAGAATTTACTGAGCACCTACGATGTACCAGGTACTAGGATAGATGTTGGGGATCTAGATATTTTTATGAGTCCTGCTCTTGCAGAGCTTATAATCTAGTGAGAACAATGGATAACTGAACATAGAATTACTGCAGAGTATAAAACAAGGCCTAGGCTGAAAATGACCAGGAAGCCGTTCGCAGACAGCGATGAGTTCACAGAAAGGAGCAGGGCCTGAGTAAATATGGATTGAAGCGAGAGGATTTGGAAACTGGTGAGAAAATTTTCCACCAGGGGAGTGGACAACCAGAGAGGGAGTTTGAGGCAGATTTTGTCTCTTTTACTTTTTCTCTCTCTCTTTTTTTTCCTTGTTATTTTAAGTATAAAAGTAATGCATGCTCACTGAAAAAAAAAAAGAATTCAAAAATTAAAAGGATATAAAGTAAAAAACTCAATAATCACAACTGAGAAGAGTTTTGTAGGATGTTAGGAGTTAGCTGAGCACAAGAGAGGGCAGGTGGAGACAGTGAGCAGATCAGCAGTTCTGGGAGCGGCTCCCAGCTGTGTGCACACACCTGTCAGCAGTCCTGAATGAAGCCAAGCAGAGCGGCCGATAGCAGGCCTCACTCTCTGATGCCCTGAATACCTACCAGTAGCTGGAGCCCAATAGCATTTTTCTAAAACCTGGTTTTAGTACTACATTTTATTACTTATTCCATTTTATTATTTAATTAGATCAAATTTACTGTTTCTTGCTATCTTACAAAACACAATATTTACCTCCCTAAAGGCAAAAAAAAGTATCAATTCATGTGGAGCACACTGGAAATATAATACTCAAAAAAGATGCCTGCTATATGAAAGCTATTTGGGATGCTTCCATTTATGCCACAAAAGTCAGGCATTAGTGAAACTCAAAGGGAGAATTTTTTAATTGATAAGATGAATTCAGGAACTGTAGTCTTTGGAGCACTAGAAAGCCTTCGTGTGCTGAGATAAGCCCACGCTTAAAGCTGAGGCCACCTCTTGACTGGAATTAAATTAAGGAGTAAATATGCTGAACCAATTAACTAGTCATCATTGCTCACTGAGCAGTTTATAAGCTTCCTTCCCTGAGCACACTGAAGATGATTGACTCTGGGCATTGATAGAAAATGTTTTTCTCTTACAGAACGTGACCTAGAACTTGACTGCTCCAAGGTACATTCTTCCTTGCCCCTACTAATATGCAAATTACGTATTTTTTACATGGAAACAGAAGGTTAGAAGTATAGATAGATAGTATACATTATAAATGATCCAGAAAGGGCTGGTCTAAGTGCACTTTGATAGCACCTTTGTGAAGTGCAAACATGAAACTATTAAAGATTATAGGCAAGGAGACCAATATTTAAAATAGAGAGTGGGAACTAAACCATTGTGCTAGGTGTTATTTCAATTACTACAAGAATGTTTTGAGGATTTTGTTATTGTCACACCCCCATCATCCATTATCCCACCACACACACACACACACACACACACATTTTCAGATAAGTAAACATCAGTTCAAAAAGTCTCAAAAACCAACCTACAGTCATGTGACCATTGACCAAAGGAATCCAGAAGGCATTCTCACCAGAATCCATCTGGCTTGGGCTTGGTTCTAAAGCAATCAGTATCCATAAAGAAAATAATAGTATTTCTTTAGTTTTATATTCAGTGGTTCTGTGACTACCTTAAATAGAAAATTCAAAATACAGCTCGAAAATAAGTGTGGTTCTAAAGATAAACACATATTCACAATTAATGTAACATTTCGCTATTTTACAGTTTCATTCTCCCTATTTTGCCTCTACCATCAACTGTACCATAGGATCATTGCTTTATATCTCATCTAGATCATCCATGAGGTTCTCTGCTCGTGTCCCTATTCCTCCTACAACTCCACTGATTTTTGTGGTAGGTGGATCCTGGGTGAGATGTTAGGAATAAAACAAATTTGACTTGAACCTTAAGTTCGCAAAGTTCAGCATCTGGTCTTCCATGTAGGTACATTGTTTTAATTTAATTTAAATTTGTCCTCATTTCATATATGTTCTTCGTATTGGGTGTTTTTTTTGTTCCATGTATGTGTTTCTATGTGACTGTTCATGGGAAAAGGAGTTTTGTGATATATCTCTCCTAACATCCACTTTAGGCTATTCATTAATAAATGAATATATGTTGAACATAGTCAGTGCTCAGTCGGTGTTATATAAAGGGCCCAGTCAATTCTCTGAAGTCAAATGTGATTTTGGCATTTTCTCCAAAGACACACACAATGATAAATTTCAGACTTAAGAAGCATCATATAATATATGTATGTATATATATTTTATATGTGATGTGCCTTGGTCCATAAGTGTTTTTCAACAATTTATAGGAATGTATAACTAGATGACAAAATCAGAAGACAAAAAAATCAGTTTATTGGCTTTATAAATGAAGAAATGGTAGAGCTAAGAGGCCAACTATTTAAGGGACTTGCCTAAAGTTACACACTGATTAGTGTTAGAGCTGAGACCAGGACTTAAGTGATCTGAAATTATACTTTTAAAATAAAAAGCAAATATACATATTTGCTTTTATATATATATATATACACACACACACACACACACACACACACACACACACATCATAATACTAAAAAAATACTGTTTTAGTTGGATTGCATGTGCTACACTAGGGAGGGGGTCACCCTAACTGCTCATCTTGACAAGGTCAAAAGTAGTGACTAAAAGCTTCGAATCCAGTATCACATCTGATTTTAAGTTACCAGCTATGAGTCCCTAGGCACTTTCTTCATCTCTATGTCTTTGTGTCTTAATCCATAATATAAGGAGAAGCATATCCTACCTCGTAGAATTGTACTAAAGATCAAAGTCTGGATGCTTAATGCAGTACTTAGAATATAAGTGTGCAAGGGATTGTTAGCTTTTATTATTATACAAATCTAACTGGGTGTTTTTTTTTAATTAAGGTAAGGAGATGGAGCAATTCTATGGTTTCTCTATAGAAAAACCTGAGTAATTGTAATGAATATATAGAAAAGAACTAGTGGAATAAGGATTACATAATGTAGAAATAAGATCATTTCAGACTCAAAGGAACCCTCACCACCATCTATTTCAACCTAGTTATTTGAGTTTATTGAGTATTTCTTATACTGTCTAGTCCATCTTTCCTCCCATTTCTTTAACTGAGAAGGTGACTAGTTGGAGAAATATTAGGCTGAATATAATTCTCTGCAGTGAGTACTAAGCTAGTCAGGAGTGGGAGAGAGGAAATATTGGAATGCAAAGATGGGGTGGAAATTGGGGGAGGGGTATGAAATGATCCTCTAGAGAATAAAATACATATTATTTAATAAGGAGTATTTCCTCTTCCTACCTCCAACCCACCCCCAAGAAGGTAACACTTTCAACAATAAAGAATTTAAATAAAATAAAAAAAGAACTTCTGCTATATCTCTATGCTCAGCCATGACTCGCCTGTAGTGTGGATTAGAGGTCACACACTAGGCTTCTAGTCCCAGCACTGAATCTAAATATGTGACCTTGGGCATTCTCTTGCTTTACTTTCTTAATCTATTAAGAGATTTGGACTAGCTAGTTTCTGAAGTCATTTCCATCTCTATAATTAGCTATTATATGCTTCTCAGTGACAAGGGACTAAAGGCATTCCTGTACTGATCTTCGTATGCCATCGGGTGACACTACAATTTAGAATGTCAGACTCTCCTTACGGTATTGCTGATTTGATTATGGTTAGAGGTTTATGTGTCTCTTGTGTACATAGTTACAATTAACACTGATGGGTATAAAGCATTTCACGGGGCTTATTAAATCCAGGCATAGAATCTGAATGTTCTGGGCCTCCTTCAGCGTTCACATAAACTATAAATCATCCTAATTTTGAAATCTGACCTTCCTGGGCATGAATAAAGGATCCTGGATTTCAAAGGCATCTGTGGTTCCACAAAAAGTCTCTGAATACAATTTTAGCCTCTGTGTCACATTCTAAAAGCTCAGCTCTAAAGAAATCTTATTGGCTGTTTGGTTTAAAGGTGAACTCAAGCAAACCTATTATTGAAAATCTGGTTCCTGGTGCCCAATACCAGGTTGTGATGTACCTAAGGAAAGGCCCTTTGATTGGACCACCTTCAGATCCTGTGACATTTGCCATTGGTAAGTCACCAGGTACAAGAATAATAACATTATCAAAGTATTGTTTGGAAGGGTGCAATGTCCAAGCTCAACTCATTACCATCATATATGGGAGGCCCATTCTTGTTCACCCAATATCCTACCTTCAGAGTCATAAACTATTGCAATTGTATAGCTGGAGGGCATCCTTAGCATTTACTATTTGGAGGGGGGGTTGGGAATCAGAGGCAAATATGTTTAGTTTTCAATGATGGTATCAGAAGAGCAAAAACCTTAGTTATAAAGTAGACATTTGAAGCCATTGCTATGATATTAAACATTCCTTCTTGGCTTTCTTTTTTCACTCCCCCCTCCTCCTTCCTCTTAGTACCAACTGGAATAAAGGATTTAATGCTCTACCCATTGGGCCCCACAGCATTGGTTTTGAGCTGGACCAGACCGTACTTAGGAGTGTTCAGAAAGTATGTGGTTGAAATGTTTTATTTCAACCCTGCAACAATGACATCGGAGTGGACAACCTACTATGAAATAGCAGCGACCACCTCCTTAACTGCATCTGTGGTAATCTTTCCTGAGCCATCTGTCACCTCCCTGTGTAAATAGATGTGCCGAAATGTACCTAATGTCAGGAAAAGGTATCTGTAAATTAGACCATTTTGTAAATATACACAGCTTGCTACTCCCAAGGGTTTTTTTGGTTGTTTTTAGGATTGTTTTTAGTTGTTTTGAGAGAGAAAGAATTGTGTGCAACTGGCTTTCACCTTTAGTTTATTTGTTAATCCATATTTTAGTAGAGCTACCAAGTGCTTATTGTTTCTTCCTGCTCCTGGGGAGAAAAACACAGGAGATTACCTTTCATCATTTAATAATTAGTTGACACTGCTTAACTGTCATGATGATGATTCTTGACATCTACAAAACAGTTAAGTACTTATAGTGTCAGGCCATTAGAGAGCGGGTAAAGACTGCTCTCTCTAAACCTTAAATAATTTTAGAAGTGCAGTTTCCCTACAGTTCACACATGAAGTACACAACTGCCCTCTACCCAGTTGATGATTCATAATTGTCACCCATCAAGGGCACATGCCTATGGTCCAACCTGAGAAAATACAGAGTTATGAAAGGTCATTTGGCTTGAAATAGGGAGACGTGTATCTACAGTCACTTGCAAATAAGTACTATTTCACTTGTGTAATATAACTCAGGAAACTGCAAAATGAAACCAATATTGGAAGCATCTGACTCTATACCTTTGAATCACTTTTTAAATTACATTATATTTTTGTATAGCATTTTATTTACACCTCACCTCATTCCAAAAAGAGGTTGTTGTGTGTGTTTTAGTGGAAAATTTTGTGAATACAACAAGGCACAGAATATAAAATAAAAATTATTTATTAGTTCTTTTCATGGCCAAATAGGAATAATTCTATTCAAAAAAATATGATTTTGCCCCTTAGTCTTTTGTCTCCTTGCTTTTTTTAGCGAATAGCTAATCTGTTGCCAGCGTGGTACTACAACTTCCGAGTGACCATGGTGACCTGGGGAGACCCAGAATTGAGCTGTTGTGACAGTTCCACCATCAGCTTCATAACGGGTGAGTGGTGTGTGGGGAGCGGTTTCCTGAGAAGAGAACACTATCTGCAGAAGGTTCTGAAGAGACACATCTCCAGAAAGTGTCCGTCACTCACTCAGGACCGACTGAGCCCCAGTGTCATGGAACATCATATGCTTGAGTCTGGAAAATTATTATTTGTTTAAATAATGGCCTTTAAAAATTAAAATATTCTTTTTATCCTGAGTTATTGCCCTTGATTCATTTTTAGTCTGAGTCACTGCCCTTGAGTGGTGTGCCCCTGTTTGAAATTGATCAGAAAAGAGATGTGCTTCACCCTGCACTCAATTGCCTTTGCCCGTTTGATGGCTGTATTTGCTAGAGGGCCTCCATGTCCTTATTAATTATGCCCTTTTTAAAGCCCAGGCTGACTGCAGTGTTGTCCACTGCAGGAGTTAAAAGCCTGTGGAGACAGGTAGACCTGGGTTTGAATCACACCTCTGTTGGATGCCATATACGACCTTGAGCAATTAAGTTTTCTAAGCCTTGGTGGTTTTTTAATGTGAAAAATGGGGATGATACTAGTATCTATTCTCTGTTGTTATCTTCTAGAGGCCTGGTGCATGAACTCGTGCACAGGTGGGGTCCCTCAGCCTGGCCGGGCAGATGTGGGGGAAGACGGGGGGACCAGCCGGCCGGGGGGAGGGATTGCAAGAGGTTGGCCAGCCAGGGGAGGTTGGCTGTGGGAGTGCACTGACCACCAGGGGCAACTCCTGCGTTGAGCATCTGCCCCCTGGTGGTCAGTGCGCATCATAGCAACCAGTCGGCTGATCATTCAGTTGCTTAGGCTTTTATGTATAGAGATTATTGTTTCTCAATTAAATAAGCTGGGTAGCAAAATACATGGCACAAAGTTTAAGTAACTTTAAAAAATTGTTCATGTTAGATCTCAGAGCCTTAAATTGTGTAATTTATCATCATATAACAGAGATGGTAAAAGTGATCAGAGGTGACAATGAAAAGGGGAAATTCATAAAAGAGACATTAACCCTGGTTGTTTGAATTAAGATTTTTCAGGAACTTTTGGGTGGATTCTAATACTGTAATTAGAGTTGTACTGAGAAAAGAAAAGAGAAAAAATATTTTTAGATGAAGAATAATTTTGGCAAAATGTTTTCCTCACTGGACATCTAGCTTTGTTCCACTGAAATTTATAAATTCAAAAACAAAAGAAATAAATGTATCCTATGTGAATTCTTACACAATTTACTTATATAGTTCATCACTTTTCCTTACTAGCCAATGTCTAGCACTCCCCATTGGCTCAAAAAAGGAGAAAATACCAATTATTTAAGAAGCTTTGTGTTGTGCTGTTGACTTTATCAATAATTACATGTTTAATTATAATTAAACTTCATTTTATTAATAACTTACACAGTTTAACTTTATTGGGATTAACACCCTGAGAATATTCTTCTCTTCTCAGACAGCCATGTCTGGACTGGAAAAAGCCCAGACTTCCCATCTGAACACTTGATTGAACAGACCTGGCTCTGCTAATTTCTGGCTTTAGAATTATCTCAGGGATCCTAGACTTCTATTTTCTCATTGGTAACACTCGGAATATCACCTCACACCTGACTAAGAGAGCCAAGCTCAGGGCATTAGACCTCACACAGGGAG